AAATGATACGCACATATTCGGTCTCGGCGTTCTCCATTGCTTTCTATATTCCTTTATATATATATATATATACATATATATGTACAAGTTTGCATTTCACCGAGACATGGACCTGTGCGCCTATAATAATACAGGCGATTTGTAATTTTCTGTGTAAAATGGTGGGTTTTATATTCGTGTTAGAGAGACACACACACACATTCATAAAAAAAGAGATAAATCTCGTCGGTTTTCAACTCTGGCATCATAGAACTTGGCCGACAGAACTCACGCATTCTTTTCAAGCACATATGAAATATCTATAGCAGCTTTGACGAATTCTCTCTCTCTCTCACTCTCTCTTTTTTCCACTCTCGGGAAAAATAGGAGAAAAAAAAACTAATGCCCTGCAAATCGTGGGTGTAAAGCTCTTTAGTTTTTTGGAAGCCACGACTCTGAGTACAGACTTTTTTTTCCCCCCTTATCCGTATGTTATTATCGTATAGCATAGCGACCCAGTCTACTTTTTTTTTTTTTTTTTGCCTTACATTGTAGGAAAATTTTCCCACCTCCATATATGAATGTGTTCTAGAGGAAAAATTGTTCTAAGTACGTTATGTTTTCTTTTTTTTTCGCTTTCTTTTTTTTGTCAATTATTTTGTGCCGAATGCAAAAATCATATACACAGCTTGAAATTTCCATATACTGCATTTCTACGTCTCGGAGTTTTTCAGGCAATGAAACTGTCCTTTATGTAAACAAGAATGCTTTTGTAAAATAAAAGAAATTTCACGGCATTTTTTGTTGTTGTTGATAATAGCATGTTGTTGTTTTTTTTTTAATATTTTAGTTTTGAAATTTATCATACAGTCTTTTGTTTTTGATAATGTTAACATTAACCACCTTTTTGAATTTAAAAACAGGAATATGTATCTGTTTTGTTAGATTGCACTGCTTTTTTATTTCTTTTTTATTTTAGTGAAATATTTCATAAAATTTTATTAAATTTCAAAATAAGAAAATTTTGTTTATGAAAATGGATATTTTTGAAAAATTTATGCTGCGAGTTACATAAAATTTATGATCTTCGTTAGAGTTGTGACGTCAGTAACCCAAAATGAGGAAAATAAAATTTGCAATATATTTTTTTATCTTTTTTAGGGTCTTGTTCCCAAAGTAATAGAAGACGGAATCCTTATGTGGTTTCATTTTTAAGTCCGTTCCCACTTTTGTTATACACTTACCATTCAGTCATATTGATCGAGAGAGCTGAAAATTAGTACAAAATTGTATTTTACGAATAGGTCTACTCTCTAAATCTGAATTAGTAAAAATATTTACTAATTTAAATTAGTGGCTCATTTTTTGCTTTAGAATTAGTTAAATTTTACTAATTGTTAGTAAAAGTTACTAATAATGAGTAAAATTTTATTAATTCCGAAGCAAAAAGTGAGTCATTAATTTAAATTAGTAAACATTTTTACTAATTCAGATTTAGAGAGTAACGGAAAGAATGTATAAATAATAATTTTAACCTGTTAAATAGGAAAAAAATATTATTTAACATATGAGTTTCAAACTTAACAAATATAAAAAAATTAGTTACTATTTACTTTCAAACTGTTATATTCAAAAAGTAATCAATAAATAAAAAATAATGCTGTTTCTTTGCAGTTTTTTATTTGTAAATAATGAGCACAAAAGAACTACAAAATATTTAATTATTTTAAAATAAACTAAAGGTTTGTAAAAAAAAATCACGATTTACCGACTGCTGATAAAGTAGGAATTTAACTTACTATCAGTTGGCAAAGTAGAAAAAACAAAATTTGCTATTTACCTATTGGTAAAGTAGGAATCTATCTTGCTATTAGTCGGCAAAGTAGAAATCTATCTTACTATCAGTCGGCAAAGTAGAAAAAAACAAAACTTATTGTTTACTAACTAGAGGCCATCCAGAAACTGTGTCACCAATTTTTAATCCTTTTTATACCCTTCTCCTCTCGTTACCATTGTGTTAAATGCATTTTTATAGACTTTTTGACCCCCTCCCCCTGAAATAGGTAACATGGTTTATGGATGGCCCCCTATTGGCAATGTAGGAATCTACCTAACTATTTGCTGGCAAAGAAGGGAACCGACACTATTTGCCGACCGTTGAGAATGTAGGAATCTACCTTACCGTAGGTGGTAAAGCAGGAAAAACATATAACTTATACCTTACTATCAGTCAGTAAAAAAAAAATATAAATTTTAAATCATCTTAAATGGAGAAAATTGTTTGTTATTCATATACATCAAAGTATTTTAAAATACATTTTTTTTCTTTTTCTTCTAATACAATAATTTGTTTTTAAATTAAACATTGTCGATACATAATTTTTGTTTTTTTTTTTTTTAAATTAAATATGTCTAATGTTATAAAAATTCAATTCGCAGAACTAAATGAAAACCGTTTTTATGTATGTATATATGTGAATCAAGTATTTTTCTCCCTGTGCGGTTGTGAAGATAATAAAGAGAGCATTTTGCAAATTCTAATTTTAGTACCTAGACAGACTCGATATCCGGCAATATCGACGAGCTTCGTCGTCACGGTGGAGCGGCTCGTTATCTGCGGTACGAGGGCGTTAGAAACGAATAAACCGTGAACGTTTATGCGTCCCATAGACGGACGCACGGGTCAGCATAACCTGTCATAAATCGGGGCTGGTGAGAGAAGTGCATGTATGCGGTATGGATGAAGTGAAATGAGCTATAGGGAGAGACAAAGAGGGAGAAAGATAGAGATAGATAGAAGCGAGAGAGAGAGAGAGAGAGAAGATTGTAGAGGGTGCGCTAGAGCGGGATGAAACGAAAACATGAGATCGTCTGGCTCATAGACTGAGGGAAAAGGGTGGCAACTAACAACCCCATTTGAGAGAGGGGGAGAGGGATTGCAAGTTGAACGGCGGGTGGCGAATCTCGCGTTACAGCTAACGTTGCCAACCGACGTGCATAGTTGGGAATGCACTTTGCATTGTTAGCGGCATTGCACGCGCTGAAACATTTACTGCCGTAGACGTGTCAATCCATACCGGTTTTACGAGCGCTGCGTAAATTCTCGCTACCTGTTCGTCAGGCATTGCGCGCCCAAGTATTGCCAGCAAATGCATTATAGGCTTTTACAGGAGAGCAGCACGCCTGTCCGTCTGGCATTGTAGACTGAAGACAGACGATTTTCTGCCTCTTTGCGTGTCTTCAAGCCATAAGCGATTTTGGCTTGGTACGTAAAATAACCACCACAAAAAAAAAGGGGTGAAAAGTGCAAAGTCATAAAATAAATTTATGCGTGTTTTCGAAGCCATCATTAAAAAAAATGTTTACTGAAAAAAAAATTATTTTTTATAAATTAAAAAACTGAAGTAAAAATAAGGACTAATTTATTTTGTTGACAAACTAATTCTACTGATAAAATCTCTAAGTTTGATATAAAATTTTTATTGAACAAATTATTACGTGTGTGGTATAAAATTTAAAATTATTTTATATTTAATTAAAAAATAAAGTTAAACATATGAAAAGTGCAATCTTCCATATGCATAATTTTACTTTAACCCCTTTTTTAACTACATGTATTTTATATAAAATTAAAAAAATGGCTTAAATTATTCCCTTAATGATTTCTTAAGATATTTTATATACTATATCATGAGAAAAGAACATCTTAATGTTCTTACTGACCACTTTGTCGGTTTATTTAAAAGGAGCAAAAAGCATGGAAGTTGCAAATACTACCGTCCGGATATTATACTGTTAGATCTTTTAAAAGTGGTGGAAACGCGATGAAAAACTCGGATCACTAAAAGAGACCTGTAATTACGCCCTCGGAGAAAAATACGTCCGACATTAATAGACCTTTTAAAAGGCTCTCGACTTCTGTTTTTCATCGTTTACCCAGCTTCTGGTATAACAAACTACTGAGCTACTTCCAGTTTATCCGCGCGTAAGCTCACGAATCAACTATCGACGAATTCACGTCATTTTAATATATTTCTCTTTTATGCGTTTCATTACAAAAACATGTATTATTAATTTTTTACTATTTGACAACATTTTTATAAAAATTCTAATTTTATATTCTTTGTTCAAAAACTTTTTTTAGGATTTGAGTTACATTCAAATTTGACTGAAACATTATTTCTTTTACCATTTCTTGGGAAATGTATCTATTTCAAGTTGATTTTCAAAAAAAAAAATATTTTTTAACGAAATTAGAAATAATATATGTGTGCGTATCAAAAACGAATTGAAGGACACAGAAGACTTCAGAGAGAAGAAATTAAAGCAGGCAATCTCAGGGTTAAGGTTACCTTCTCTCCCTCTCTACTTGTTTCCTTCCCATTGCGATTGCGGATGAGGTTGGTGACCTTACGCTGACTAAGGATACCACCAAGAGTTGTTTACAGTCTTTGGCGTCGTGGCATGTTCCGCCACGCAAATTACAGTCAATTAAAGTCCTATGCTTCCAACGTGATGTCGAATCCACCACAACAGGAGGGTCCTTCGAAACGATAGAGAGTAGACAGTGCGGACATATGCGTAGCGAGGTCACGTCGCTTGAAGGTTCGAACTAGATTGAATGTTCTATTCAAACATCAGATCTTCCCATGAAAATCTCTCTCTGATCTTCTGCGATTATTTCCTCGGTGACAATCTTCGCGCAGAAATTGATTTATTTTATCTTTAATTCAATGAAAAGTTTATTTGTTTTTTTTTGATTTTGTTTTGCAGATAAATTATTATTTGCGCTGTAAAATTGAAAAACTTTTTCTAAAGGATTATTATGAATGATATTTCTAAATAAATAAATTAGAAATGAAATATATAATTGACCCTTTCCATTCGTGATAATTAAAGACATGAATAGATGATCAAGGAACTTACGTCGTTTTAGTAACTTCATTAAGAGTATATTGGTAAACTTTATACAAATTATAAACGATATAATTTTTAATGTATATATTTTTTTTTTGTTTCAGATGACTATGGACACGAAAGAGGGATATATGAATTGAAGCGGTTTTCAAAAAAGGTTGTTTAATATTAAAGATGAATAATATAACATTAATAAAAAAAAATAAGTAAGTCCACTTTGGGCGATTTTCATTTAACTTTTTAAAAATTTTCAATTTTCAAAAGCAATGCGCACCGAAAATTCGGTCAATTTTCAAAAGCAATGCGCACCGAAAATTCGGTCAATTTTCAAAAGCAATGCGCACCGAAAATTCGGTCAATTTTCAAAAGCAATGCGCACCGGAAATTCTATCAATTTTCAAAAGCAATGCGCACCGAAAATTCTATCAATTTTCAAAAGCAATGTGCACCGAAAATTCTGTCAATTTTCAAAAGCAATGCGCACAGAAAAAATTTGTCAATTCGGTTATAAAGAAAAGTGGTGACTATACAAAACGGACAACTGTCGACTCTTAGATACTTTATTACATTTAGAAATGCATAGATATAAATGATTGTGTATAGGAAAGGGATAAGTGACAACTTTTGGTCATATTTTTACTCAAATTCACAAAAACGTGAGATTTCAACATTTTGTGATTTTTATTATAATAAAGACAAGAAATTTCAATTGATTTAAAGAGTGGGAACAAGGATTTAGATCCTTGAGAAGTCTTATGCTGAGAGACTTTATATACGTCCGTTTAATCTGATCCTGATCTCAATACGTACGCGGATGTTGGTTGCGTTGGATAATGCCTAGTAGGGACGAAGTAAAGTGCTTCGGATGGTACGTAAATGCTTACGTACGTTGTCCGTAGGTAAAGGTATATATGATACTAGAGGTACCGATCGACCGAGGAATGGGGGGGTGGGGATATAATTGCGGAGGGCAGAGAGATGCGTGGAGATGTTCTTGCCGGGTCAGCGCGGAGGTCACGCTTGGAATCCAGAGCAAACTATCCCCCCTTCCCTTCTCTTCTTTCTTTAGCTGTAGCTTCTTCTCCCAAGGTAGGCTTGTCTACCTTCTCGCTTGGCAGCCTGACTCTTCTCGTACACATCTTAAAAGACCACCGTATAGAAGTTTACTTTCCTACTGCTATATGTATATATATAAATCGTTGTATGTACCTTATACAACGCGTTCTTACCAATACACAACGCTCTTGCGTCGTTACTTCCTTCCAAGGATTGGACACAGTCCAGTTGCCTCATCCCGAAGGAGTATGGCCACGTGAAGACCCCTCTCTCTCTTTCTCTCTACTCATCTACCGCATCATCACGGCACGATCTTCGTGGTGTAGATTCTACCGCCATAAATCGGGACAGACCGGGGATAACCTCTCTTTTAGTTATTTTTTCAACAAAATGACCCGACGATTCCACTGATGTTGAAGATTTCTTCACGATCTTTATATACCATTTTCTTCCTTACATACCTCATTAGCGTATACAAAATATTGTTTTCAATTCGATTATTTTTTTGCCTAATCTTTTTTATGGATAAAAAAAGAAAGAGTCTGATAAAAAAAGTAGACTAATTCTATTTCTTGGTCATAAAAGATGTGTACTTAAAAGAAGTTAACTTAACGGTTCTTAAAGGTAAAGAATATCATGAAGATAAGAATGTCTACTTATATACAAGAAGAGATTGAAATTTACTACATAGTGTAAACTATCGCATAGAGGTAACATGCTTAGTTTCTCATCACTTCATCCCCCTTCATTTTCTCCTCGTGATACTTGCGGTGTATTACACTAGCGACTCCTGCCAGGTATTATATGTTCTCTCGAGTGTATGTGTATATAACCCCGTATACAGCTATATTATCTTCCAACCTTTAGTGTAAATACTGCTTTCGATTTGTGGCCTATTCACTCTTTCATGCCATAGTTCCCTTATCACCTCAAGTCTAACTCTCATGGAAACTGTTGATGTCATTTGATGAAATGGATTTTGTCGTCATAGAAAATCTCAGAACTTTTCCCATACAACATATATATACTACTGCATATATATATATATATAGTTGTCAGCTTCCTGTAAAATCTGTCTTGTATGGCTTTATCATTAACCTGTTTTCATTATACACTTTCCAAACACGAAAGTGATTAATTTATAATAAATAAAATAAAATTGTGTCTAGATTTATATTTCAAAATATAAATAGGAAGAACAATAATTTAATTTTTGTCTTGTCGAATATGTTTTGCGGATAGTATCAATGTCGAAAGTTAATGAAGCCACCATCACATTTAAAGAAAAAGAATTGAAGGTCATGTTGGTTAGTATCTTTACGGAGTAAACCTTGGAAGGGTTTACTGCCATTAATGTTCCATACAGTATATATATATATACACACACGCGAGAGATAGGCAAACAGAGAGTGAGTTAGTGAGCGAGCAGCCAACTGAATGCATATCCGTATGGAAAGGAGACCCCGTATCTCACCGGTCAGAGCCACTTAATTGACACGCGGCGCGTCCCTAACACGCGGCGACCCCCCTGCAACCTGGTTCCGCATGTGGAATCACGGATCTCCATCTGTCGTCGCCGTCGCTGGCTGCGACGATTCCTAGCACCGCACACGTTCAATCGTGGAAATGGAAATACCGACCGCGGCAGTAGCTTATATATACTGCAGCAACAGAAATATCGCACTTCACAATAATTAACTCCTCTCCCTTCGCATCTTACATTTTAACCCTTTAGGGACCAAATGTACAAAAATTTTGCCTAAAGTTTGGTAATTTTTTAAACCATCTAAATGCATTAAGAAAAAATTTGCAATATACGTTTTTTATGGTCCAGGAACTGCTCTTTCAAGTGGTGCATCTAAAAAAACCGTAAATTTAAAATTAAACAAACTACAGATAATTATTTATAAAAAAATATGAATTTTCAAGGTTTTTTTTTTACTTAAGAATTTTTTTGGGGAATGTGCCATTTTAAAATATCTTCCCGAGGTACAAATATGGCGTCAAAAATATTTAACTTTTGACATGGTGGCATAGATTTAAAAAAAAAACTAAATGTCTAAATAATATTGTTAATTAAAGTTGAGATTTTAATAACAAATACGCAGCTATTGTCAAATAATTTTAAAACTCATCGGATCCACTCGAAAATCGTTACTCGTAGGTTTTCGGGGTCGCTGATTACGAATCTGAAGTCGATTTTTAAAAATTCAAAATGTCAGCGACCCCGAAAACCCCTGAGTGACTCTTTTCGAGTGAATCCGATGAATTTTTAATTTTTCGTCCGCCATATTGGATCCGCCATTTTGAATTTTTAAAAATCGACTTCAGATTCGTAATCAGCGACCCCGAAAACCTCCGAGTATCGATTTTCGAGTGGATCCGATGAGTTTTAAAATTATTTGACAATAGCTGCGTATTTGTTATTAAAATCTCAACTTTAATTAACAATATTATTTAGACATTTAGTTTTTTTTTAAATCTATGCCACCATGTCAAAAGTTAAATATTTTTGACGCCATATTTGTACCTCGGGAAGATATTTTAAAATGGTACATTCCCCAAAAAAATTCTTAAGTAAAAAAAAAACCTTGAAAATTCATATTTTTTTATAAATAATTATCTGTAATTTGTTTAATTTTAAATTTACGGTTTTTTTAGATGCACCACTTGAAAGAGCGGTTCCTGGACCATAAGAAACGTATATTGCGAATTTTTTCTTAATGCATTTAGTTGGTTTAAAATATTGCCAAACTTATGTAAAATTTTTGTACATTTGGTCCTTAAAGGGTTAACGTTACTTTTGTAGTTGCATAGTTTTTCTTTCTTTATTTCTCATGTTAAAATTGCTCAAACTTAATTTTCGTTTATTCTGACAGTTGATTTTTGGATTCGGTGACTCTGGTTGTATAAAAATTGAATATATGTGACCTGAATAGTTGAAAGGTACGTTACGACCGAACAAATCGATTTTTTATTGAATGGCGCTTCGTAAGGTCCCTTTTAATAGTCCAGGTTAAATATATAAAAAATTAAAAATTGCGGATCCAATATGGTGAATCTAAAATTGCGGATTTAAAAAAAAATTCTTCGGTTTTTCTTGGAACTTGTTACTCGGGGATTTTAAGGGTTGCTGAATACGAATCTGAAGTCAGATTTAAAAAATTCAAAATGGCGGATCCAATATGTCTGACAAAAATGTTTAAAATGAACGAAATCTCTTTGAAACTTGGTACTCGGAGGGTTTTTGGGGTCGCTGAATACGAATCTGAAGTCAGATTTTAAAAATTCAAAATGGCGGATCCAATATGACTCTTAAAATATTTAACAAGTTTCAAATTAAACTGATGACCTGGCATTTTGGATTTTTAAAATCTGACAACAGATTCGTATATTCAGGGATCCGAAAAACCCCCAAGTTTCAAGGAAATCCGAACAATTTAAAAAAAATCTGCTATTTTATATCTGCCAATATAAATAATATTTAATTAATTAAATTATAGGTTGAGTCAATTGAGTATCAAATTTCAATTAGGTAATTCTTATTTTTTTTCAAGTAAATTTTATAATTTTTAAAACCAGGGACGAACAATTAAAATTTTTTATTATTATCATAAATTAATTAAATGCTGATAAGGAAACCGTTTTTTCAAAACGTTAAAATAAATATATTTTTTCCTGTTCCAAATTGCTTAAATTTTTTTTATACCAAAAAAAGTAAATAAGAATCCATTGCAATTTGATACTCAATTGGCTCAATCTAACTTAATTCAATTTTTTTTTTTTTTATTTTCACAATTTGATTTATTCACTGGATTTTTAAAATTCCATCCTTTAATTAAGCTTTGTTTATATTGGTGACTAAATTTGAAACGAAATTATATTAACGTAATTATTTCACGCTTGACATTATTCTCTCGGTTGAGTGGAATTATCGAGAATTTAAAAATATCTAAGTGCGATCATAAAAAATTATACCATTTAAAGAGTCGAGACTGACATTTAAATTACGAGGACAAATCAAACTTCTATAATAAGATAATATAAATTATATGAAAAGTTTTTACTAAAAAAATATATAATTTAAAATCACGCTTTTAG